TCTTATAGCATAATGTTTAAGCAAATAAATTCACACGTCGACAAACAAATGATTCCCATCGAGTACGATGGATGCGAGGGGTGCTAATACCTTCCCCTCGCATAACCGGCTTCCGAACCCGTTCTTGGTTGCGAGACCATCTTATCCATTTCTTTCTTAAGGTTTTCTCGATATTTTCCTTTCCCCTCATGGGATAAATAAAGTTTGGTGGCGACTTTTCTGTCTATCTTTTTCGCCTTCCCGTCGTTGCACGATGCATTTTTCGAGTAGCGCCAATTATTACAACAAAAATCAAAACAAACTTTTTTTCCATCAAAAATCTTAAAATTAAAATGTTTTCTTTAATTGAATTAAAAAAAAATTTTAAGTAAAAATTAAAATAAATTCTCCTTTTAAAACGCAAAAACCAACTTTTTCTTTAAATAAAATTCAAAAATAAAACTCTTGATTTAGCCGTTTCATTTTCGTCTAACCCTCATTAGTTTGTTCGTTGCAATTCCTAAATATTTTCATTTGTTTGTTTTTGTTCCATGGATGTAATTTACGCGAGGCCATGGTCGCGGTTTATTTTTATTTCGCATTTTTTGGGATTTGTAATTTACGCGAGTGATCGTCGCGACGTTTTCTTTTTCGCTTTCTTTACTTTCTTCACTTTATTTCTGCCATGTAATAATTTATCTTTTTGCATATTTTTTTTACCGTTATTCGCCTTCTGAAGGATTAGGTTTAGCAGTTTGACCGCCGAGTCAATAACCCTAACCTTTGACCGTTTCAAACCCTAATTAGCCTAGGCGTCCCGCCGTGGACAAAAATACCCTTTACCCTAACATTAGGTCAAAGAGTCGCAGTACTCTGTTTTAGGATTTCTCGCCGTGGGATCCCTAATTTAACCTTAATTTCAATTCAACAAATTCAACGTAGAAATAGGAGTTTAGAGACTCCACATAAGCGCTTCCTTAAGAACGCTTATTCCCCTTTGAAACCTTGACCACAGTACGAAAGTTTCTAACCTCCCTTTTGAGGGGAACTACAATTACTCTGATTCCATTCTCGTCAGGATATGTAGGCACAAGATGCAACGTCTTGCCGAGTAAACTTAGGACTAACCCTTAGGTCTCTTTAGGTCACTCTATCCCTTAGCTCAATATATATTTCAAACAAATAATAAAAATAAAATAGCATACTTTAAACAAAAGGTTCCTGTAGAGTACTACAGAAGTTTAGAGTGCTAATACCTTCCCTAAGCTTAACCAACCCCTTACCTAGGTCTCTCCCCACATTGTGTTTATGATGCAAAAATAGGTTTTCCTTCTTTTGACCTTTTCCTTCGGATAAATCAAAGATCGGTTGCGAACTAAAAGATGTGATTCAAATTAATTAATAATTTGATATCCTATTCTAACCGCGACAAAAAATGGCGACTTCACTGGGGACCCTCCTAACTTTTAAGGGTTGCCCCTATTTTGTTTTTGTATGATATTTCTTTTATTTGTCTGTGTCGCTACTCGAAAAATGCATCGCGCAACGACGAGGAGGCGAAAAGAAAGGACAGAAGAGTCGCCACCGAACTTTATTTATCCCATGAGGGGAAAGGAAAATATCGAGAAAACCCTAGGAAAGAAATGGATAAGATGGTCTCGCGACCAAGAACGGGTTCGGAAGCCGGTTATGCGAAGGGAAGGTATTAACACCCCTCGCATCCATCGTACTCAATGGGAACCTTTTGTTTGTCGATGTGTGAATTTATTTGCTTAAACATTATGCTATAAAAGAGTGTTCCAAGGGATAAAGAGAATGGTTTAGAAACGAGGAAGGAGAGGTAACGGGGGGAAGAAGAGAGAGAAAAGACTCGGTAGGACTTCGCAGTCCTAGGCCTACGTATTCTCAACAAATATGAGAAAGTCAGAGTCGACGTAGTTCGGGAAACTACAGATATAGGGGGAATGTGCTCGGCAAGGATTGTGGCCCTTGTGCCTACGTATCTTTACTTGAACGAAGTAAAGAATCAGAGCAGCCGTAGTTCGGCCTACTACGGGTGAAAGGTGAAAAAGGGAGCTCGCCAAGACATCGCCGTCTTGTGCCTACGTATTCTCATCTGACATGAGAAATCGTAGTTCGTGCTAACGGTGTGTTGATGTTTTTTATGGATGATGCTATCGTGCGCATTCTAGCAGTTAGGTGTTTCGCTGCTCGCTCGTTGGAGACCTAGGCGTTACCTGTTTGCGGTAGAACGGACGTTAACATATCCTTTTTGAAAGATTGATTAGTTTTCGCCACGCGAGGCAAGAAGTCACGTTTGATTGATTGGATTGTTTTTTAGGGGGGGGGGGGGGGCGAGACAGGTCCTCGGATAGTAACCCCTACGGGTAGTACCCAATTCATTGTCTCAAAGTTTTTGTCATAAAGGGGTGTGGCGAACGAGGCGTCTTCGTATTGAAAGACGAGCGTCGAAACCACCCTCGCTACAGTGGGCATCCCTACGCTCGGAGAAGAAGAGGTCTACACCCAATCCTCTCTCTTTAATTCAATGCAAAGAGAACTTCGTTCTCTTATTAAAGATGTTTTTGATTTTGAATGGTAAGTGCTTTACGACAGAGAACCCTACGGTAAACGTCAGCACTCGGGATAGGAGAAGGCCTACGCCTAACCACTCCACGACCATTCAAGTTTTAATGTGAAAATAATTTGAAAATGCACTCGGTACAGGACCGAGGTTTTAGGTGTGAAAATTGTGGAAGGAAATTGTGAAAGCGAGATGGTGGATAAAGTCACGTCTTCGTATTGAAAGACGAATATCAAGACCACCCTCACTACAGTGGGCATCCCAACATTCGGAGAGGAAAGGGTCTACACCCAATCCTCTCTTTTTAATTCAATACAAAGAGAAATGATTCCTTATTGAAGGGGTTTTGAAAATGGACTCGGTACGAGACCGAGGTTTTTGAAAATGCACTCGGTGCGGAGCCGAGGTTTTAGGAGGAAAAGCGTTGAAAAGAAATGGTCTCAGATCCAACGTCATTTATCAATAGTTTGACTTAATAACGGTTTACGGAGGTCTCGTCATCGACCAAAAACGAGGAACTGAGTCCTCAAAAATAAAAACTTTAAAACTAACTTCTAAGAAAATGTACGAAATTCTAAAAGAAATATAAAGATATTATAAACTAAACTTAAAAAAAATAATCTACTAACAATCTTTTTTCCAAAACTAAACTTTGAACATGAATAAAATTTAACTAACTAAAAAAAAAAAGAAAAAAAAACACGGGTGCATATAGAAATTAGTAGGGTGAAATATGGAATCATCATGGGCTTAGCAAAGGCCCATTCATCCTTGAGGCAACCAACCAGTGTGAAACAAGAAGAGGGGGTATGAAGGATGCACACAGATCCAAAAGAACGCGGGCTTAAGAAAGCCCAACAACCTCTGAAGCCACGCTGCTCTCTCGTTTAAACCAGAAGAAATAACGTGATGTCTCACGTGTCATGGAGGAAACGAGAAGTCACACTCATCAATTTCAAAACAGCTATTAATCTTCTTTTTTTATATTTAAAATAAAACCCAACAAGCAAATCAATAGAGAAAGAAAAACAAGATCAGAGCAAAGGACCAACGTCCTTCAACCTTCGAAACGTTACAAACCCAGCACCTCAATCTCTCTCTTTCTCCTCTGATAAAACACGACAACAGAACAAATCTGAAGGTAAATAGGGTTACGATGAGCAATCTAATTTTCGACCTTCTTCATTCAAATATTCTTGCTGGCTTTTTGTGTGATTTCATAACAGATTTGTGGGTTTTCGAGGTTCGAAAAAAAAAACGGTTCGGCGTGAAGGGAGATGATGATGGGTTAATGGAAGACCACGGTTAAGGGATTTGAAGGTTTGCCCTGTTGTTGTTGGTGAATGGCGGTAAGTTGCTGTTATTAAAGCTTATTCACGTCTATTGTTGGAGTATGGTGAAGGAAATTGGGATAATGGAAACTGAGTGAGGATGATTTTCAGAAGTCTGGTGTTTGTTGATTTTTTTACGGTGAGGTTGAAAGCTTTGTGAGGTTGCGATGAAGAGGGTTTGGATTCGTGGTAGCAGAGTTTGATGGATGGAGTTGAAGAGTTTTCACGGCTGGGTTGAGGTTGGCAGAATAGTTTCAGAAGTTTTTTTTTTTGTTTAGGGATTTGAAACGGTTTTAGCTGTTTGGGGTCTTTTGTTTACGGTGTACCACATTTGGAAATAGATGAGTGTTGGAGTGAAGATTTGAGTGAGGTGAATGATGAAGGAGGCTAGGGCTTGTTGGTTTCTGAGAGGTTGGATTGTGGGTTAAGAAGTATGGAGGTTGGGTGATTTGTAGATGAAGGAAGGACTAAGGTTGTTTCATTTGTGAATGGCGAAGTGAAAATGATGAAGTACGATTGGTGAAAATGGTTTGAAGTTGACGGAGGCTATGATCTGATTTTTTTATAAAAATGGGTTACGTTGTGGTTACTGGTTGGGGTTTCGATTTCGGTTGTCGGTGGTGTTTGAACAGGTCTTGATGTTGTTCAAAAAGAGGGTTTGAAAATTGGAATAGGTCGTGTATTGAAGGAGAAGGTTTGAGTGATTTTTGAAGATGTTCTGTTTGGATTTTTCGGTGTTTACGGAAAGGGGATGATGAAGATGTTAATGGAGATGAGTCTTCTTGCTTCAAAATGGAGAAGGGAGTATGTTGTTGAGTTTGGATTAAGATTCATGTTGAAGGTGAGGTGGGTTTCACAGTGATTGGTTTTTGAAAAGTCCTGGTTCTGTTTGAAGTTTAATGAGAGTTTTGAAGGTTGGTGTTGTTGATCGTAGGTCTAGTATCTCTTTGAATGGTTTTAAGGTGAGTATTAAAAGAATAGGGAAGGCTGATGTTATGGTTGTGTGTTTTGTGCAGGTACAGCTTGCAGCAGGTTTTGTCTGGTGTGGAGGTTTATTGCAGCAGGCTGGTATGTAGCAGGTCTTGTTTGGCATGGCAGGCTTTGGTTTATGTGTTGGCTGCTGTTCGCAGGTTTTGTCTGGCGGTACGGTTATGCAGAGCTTGCCTGGTTTGCAGCAGGCTGGTCCGGGCTGGCTGTTGTTTTGGGGTGGGATACTGATTGTCATAGTTATGTTGTGGTGGCATATATTGAGGATTGGGTGAGTACGCAGGTGCACCTCCACCAGGAGCAGAAAACCCTTGAGAAGGCCCCCAAGATTGGTGTGGTGGCACATTGTGGTTAACGTGAACATCGGGTCGTTGCATCTGTGTTTCAAATACTCCAACTATGCTGCGGTCAACCAAAAACTTGCGTAAATGAAGTGCAATAAGTTCAACTGCCTTGTGAACTCCATCAGATTCCCCTTGTATCTCAACAATACTATCGTCCCGCAGAGCGAAAATTGGCAGGTGTTCTGAACCAAGAATGCGTATACTGCAACCTGTAGCATCTTGAAAGGTTTTTATAGTGGCCCCTTGCTTTCCAATCAAACTTCCCGCTTGAGTATCAGCCACCAGAAGCCTCGTAGCACCTGGGCGTCCTGCACCTGATGCGCTATCTGCGGGATCACGGTCCGCATTGCAAACTTGTTTATGAACCCTTAACAAACCCTCCACAGCAGGTGGTATGGGGCGATCTGGCTCTTCTTTTGCAGAAACCATTACCAAATTCTGAAGTTACCAGGTACAGTGAAAGCTTCTTGCCACCATAGGCTGCACAAACTATTTCTGATTCTCAGATCAGAAATAACATTTCAGCAGTTGTACATGCTCATTGCTGTTTCCCTGCAACTTGAAATTTGGCTCTTCAGTTTGAAGCCACTTTTATTCATTCATATTTGCTGACAACTGCTCTTTCTGCAGTTCCCGGAGGTCCGTCAAGAATTTTAACTCGAGCCCTAGTCTTTCGGCAATCTTCCAATTTTCCATCCGGAGACCAAGAGGCATGATATCTCTGCAATTCAAACCTTCCTGATGACATTATCCTTACTAGTGTAAAACCACCATGTTCATCTGGTTCATGGAGTAAAGAAGCAAGGTCATTGCTTACAATGTCAAATCCCAAAACCATCTCCTTCTTTAGTTGCCAATCAATCCACTTAAGAAGTGCATCCTTTGACAACTCTTCCATAAACAAACAAATTCCACAAAGACACTCGCGACTAGATGAATTGATCTTAGATGGAGGCTCCCAAGCACAGAATGTTGTGCTAATCTTCGAAAACTTCGAAGTAATAGAACCTTTCCGAAATGGAAACGTAGGTCCATAGCAGAATATATTGAACTCAGAATTCCAAAATGATCCCAAGATAATGCAAAACCCCATTTCAGAAGCCAGCTTAAAATTATCTACCTTTGAGTGAGATCTTAACATAGACAAGCTTAATACATTCATGTAGCATGGTTCATCAATGTTGTGCTTCCATTGCAATATTGGCATCAAAGGCTTCCTTACATCACATAGAACTAAAAGACTGCTGGAAGCCACAGTGAAGTAAAAGTCATTAGGACCAGCCCTTGACAAGGCAAGAAACCGGTCGTTTACATCAGGAGCATACATCCGCAATGTCTCGGTCTTCATTAGGCAAGTCACATTGCATTCTTTCAATCTCAAATCAACTAAAAAGACAGCATCATCACGTGCAACTATCAAAGTCCTAATTAATTTAATAATAATCTGAACTCAATTTAATTAATTAATAAGTTCTAAATAAAATCACTAATTAATTCTACAATTAATAATTAAAACTAGTTCTAAACAATAAATAAATAACACCTATTTAAAACCTAATTTCTATCTTCTATCTAAGACAAAAATAACATCCTATATTAAATCCTATTTAATCTAAGTCTAATAAAAATAAAACAAAACAAAACTATATTAAAAATTCTACATAAACTTTTTCTATATAAAAATAAAAACTATTTTAAATCATTAAATAAAGCAAAAAAATAAAATGCAAAAATGCTATGAAAAAAAAAGGTCGAGTGCCCAAATGCACCGATAATATCAACACGGACTGAATTATCAAGAGGAGAGCGACTTTCGCTCGATTTCGACACTGAATTTTGATTTAAACTGTCTGAAATGCGAGCAAAGCGGCTAAAATTCTGATAGATTCAATCCGACCGATAACACGGGCAAAATGCAACCTAAATGATATGCAGATGAAAATACGAAGCAAAAGCCGGGCAAAGTCGGAAAATCGGTGGGCAAATTTTAGGGTGCAACAGTCTGTATATATTATTGTATATTATGGGGATATCCTTTTATTGTGAGATAAGTCCTAACCCGGACATGAGTGACCTTATTATAAGATGGGGATATATTCAACGAGGCTTGCCGGGAGTGAGTCCCGACCAAGTTGACTCGAGAATCACCGCTCAGTTGAGACCCTTTCGAAAATGGTTCGGTTGAACGAGTCAGTCGTGAAAACTTTTACTATTTTCGATTGGAGTCTATGATACTGAGGACCGTAGTACCTTAACACCACTTTGGCCTTATATAGGACGTAGTGCGGGAACTATGTGGGAGTAGTCCTACAATAGTTGCTACCGGATGCTACACTCAAAAGAGGTTCTCTTGAGAATATTATCGACCCTCGAGTCAGTCGGAAAGTTGATAATATCCGAAAGAAGGGCTGATGACTTTGGGCACTTTTTAGAACCTTGTTCGGCACGTACAAATAACCTTAGTACATACCTTATTGGGATGGGTAGACCCTAACTCCTTGCACATACCTTTAACCTAGGACTTGTGAATATGTGTGCATTGCATCCATAAAACATTACATTGCATCACATTTCATGGAATTCAAACCTTATTTATGAATATTGCAGGATACTATGGATTACAATAGAAGAAAAACTTTGAAATATACTTTTAAAATTCCTAAGCTAGATGACCTAAAGAAGCTAAGATCTTTAGTCCGAGATCGAGAAGGATTATATTACCAGTATGGAAGGTTGTTACCTCTGTTGGAATATAAAGTGAACGAAGGACTTCTGTCGGTTTTGCTACAGTTCTACGATCCTGACTACCATTGCTTCACATTTCCTGACTATCAGTTATTACCTACTTTGGAAGAGTATTCTCAGCTTGTAGAGCTGTCTATTATGGATAAGACTCCTTTCCCTTTCTTGGAGAAGAACCCTAAAGAACAGGATATTGCTAAAGCCATATGTTTGAAGGTATCTGACATTAAGGAGAATATGACTCATAAAGGTAAAATCTTTGGGTTACCTACGAAGTTCCTAATCAAGAAGGCCCAATATTACACCGATCATTTGAGTATGCCTATCTTTGAGACTATCCTTTTTCTTATCTATAGAGTGTTGCTCTTCCCCAATTTTGAAGGATTTGTGGACCTTAATGCCATCAAGATCTTCATGCGAAGGAATCCAGTACCAACCTTATTGGGTAATACCTATGATTCTGTACATCTCCGAAACCTTCGTGGTGGAGGGATGATTACTTGTTGTGTACCCTTATTGTACAAGTGGTTTATTTCGCACTTGCCTAAGTCTGGTCCTTTTTGGAGTCCCACCCAAGGACGTTGGTCGCAAAGAGTTATGGCTTTAACTCACTTTGATATTGATTTGTACAACCGTATGTATGATGGAATACTACTCAGTGATGGTTGTGGAGATTTCGCTAACATGCCTTTACTCAGTTTTAATGGAGGAATAAGCTATAATCCCGTCCTAGCTCGCCGATAGTTAGGGTATCCCTTGAAGGAACCTCCTAAAAGTATCTATGTTGAGAAGATCTTCTTCCAAGACAACAAAGAGCTTCAAAATCAGATTATATCTTCTTGGAAACATCTGCATAGGAAAGAACGAGAAAGTTTGGGAAGGCCGAATTGTGTTTCTATGGAGCCGTACCTTCAGTGGGTCCGAGAAAGAGCTATCAAATTGAAGATGCCCTATCCTCGCAAAGATCCTTTACCTCAAAGAGAAGAATCTATCCAGATTTTCATGACCAAAGCTGAAACTTTAAAGATCGCCTTGAAAAAATCACAACACAAAACTGAAACATGGAAGAACAAATACCATGTGATGGTCAGTGAGTACGAGGAACTTCAAAAATAACTTCCGTTGAAGAATGAAGAGGCACTTTCTTACAAAAAGAGAAGACTATACGAGGATTTATTTTCCTCCGATTCTCCGCCTGCTCGCCGAAGTTATGGATGATGTTTCCTTAGGGTCATTATTAGCTTTTGCTTAGCTGTTTTCATTAAAGACTTTATATTTACTTGTAATCCAATTTCTCAAATTAATGAATAAAAAATTTCTTTATTATTCCGCAATATTCATAAATAATTGAATTCCATGAGATCATTTCATTCGCATCTTGCACTTTAGCATCATATTTTTGCATTTCACATGTCTCCCGGTTTCTCATAATCGGTTCCCTCGCCCTCCAATTTCGTCACCCTGGGTCCTCCGCATCAGTACAACACTAGAGCCCAAGCTCGAAAAAGAATGGAAGAACAAAGCCAAGAGATCGCCCGTGTCATCCATGAACTCGAAGATCTTCGAGGAGGTGTGGGGAAATTATGGAGATGCTACAAGCTCTTAAGGTAAAGATGGATACTCAATCTACTGTGGTGTCTGAGAGTATCAATACTGTTGTGGATCCTCAACCAGCTGTTACTGCCAAGAATATACCTCTTCAGAGTCGTCAATCCAGTTTGGTGCCTCCTACTATTGCTCAACCAGTTCAACAAGGTGGTCCTCCAAAGTGCAAAACCCCGAGCTTCGACCATCCTAAAAGAGCTACACGCCAGAGGAGTCCCTCGAGCAAGTATAATAGCAAGATGACTACTCATCAACCTTGGCAACCTCCGCAGAATTATGCTCAAGGTTATCCGGTTCAGTATGCTCAACAACCCTATGTAGCTACCATTGCACCTTCTTTCAATCAACAGCTTCCTACATATCAGCCTGTGCAACCGGCTCCGGTCTATCAGCATCCGGTTTATCAACAACCTCCTATTTATCCACCTACACAAACTCCTGTCAACTATCAACGAGCGTCCAATGCTCCTGCTAATCAACAGCCTAAGAAGCAAGCACCTCGTCAGAATGGTCCGAATAGGAGACAATACAAACCTTGTCCTCCGATTCTGATGACTTTCACCGAGTTGTATCCTTTCTTAGTGCAACGAGGTCTGATTATTACCCGAGCTTTGGGTCTGCCTCCCAATCCTTTGCTTGCCAACTACAACGCCGCCGCTCATTGTTTATTTCATGAGGGTGCGCTTGGTCACGATTTGAAAGGTTGTTACACGCTCAATAACACTGTCAAAGATTTGTTGGAACAGAAGATATTTTCTTTCGATGATCCTCAACGAAAGATCAAGACTCCTCTCAGGGTTTTCAACATATCTCAGCCAGTTACTTCTCCTGTGAATCCGCCGAAGCCGGTAGCTATTCAGAAGTCTAGGTCGTGTCATTTTAGCATTCCTCAAGATAATGTGACCATGATCGACAAAGAATCTGGGAAAGTTATTCTGAAGGAAGATTTGAAAATTGATAATGAAGTAACGACAGATATAGCTAGGGCAAGCAAGGTGGTTTGCAGTGGTCATACTCCCCATGTCATTGAGGCTCTTCCAGAGGAAACCACTACTACGGTGCCAACCTTAAATACAAAGACTTCATAAACATTTAGAAGGACTTTCCTGACAGTTCATTTTGCTTATTTATATTTTTTTCTTTGATTAAGCATAATTAGCATGTACGAACTTTGTTTATTTTGATTAATTAATGCAATGCATATTTGTCTTGAATAAATCCATTAGTTTCACTCACAAAAATATTTTTTCATAAACTTATAATGCCAATTTTACCCGATCTCTTGCTTTGATAGAGAATTGGGAGGAGGATGATGAACCAAAAATGTCAGATCTCTTGTTATATGCTTTCGATCGAAACTTGCTGATGATGTAAGGCATTGTTTCAAATCTAAAAAAACTGGAGATATACGGAGATAATCCCTCTTTCACCCCTTTGAGCCTTGAAGTAGGAGTTTTCTTATTTTCCAAATCAAAACCCTCATCTTAACCTGGGGCAGGGTGGTTTTCAATTAAACTGATTGAGCGCTCAGACCCTCAAAAAGGAGGAGCGAACCATCGAGAATCTATCCTTGGCATCTTAAGAAGTCAAAATGCAACGACTATCCCTCGATTACTTAAAGAGTGGGGCAGTCACAAGCTTTTCAAAAGAGTCATACGACTTGTTCAAAAAATATAAGAGCCCGCTAAGTCAAAACCTATGAAGGAGACTTAGGCAAAACTGGGGCATCCCACTGGACTCCAACGCCAAACCCAAAGAGCGTCGTCCAGGCAAAAGTTAAGGAATAAAAGAAAAACAAGGGATTACCATAAATAGTCCCCAATAAGGAACAAGGTCGTGTGATCAAACGCCAATAAAAATAGATGAGTGACTGCCATGTCCAAAGCCATTGATAAGTTCCTTGACCCTATCGAATCCGATTGAGATATGAGTGCTCGTATCTGGTTAACTGAATTAGGATTGGAGAACATCACGAAGAAT